TTCCTTCCAGTTTGCTGTTATATCTTTTCACTGGCAGTGACTTCTGTGAAAATCAAGCTTCATGTATATGCAGTTAAACACATAACCTAGAAAATTGGTAGAATTTTCACCCATCTGAGTACAGTATTCGTGAAAACTGAGAAAGCCTAATTACCTGAGTTTGGCAGACTGCTCAACCTTTTGTTACTGAGAATCCTCAAATAGGTGAGCAAGTAAGATAAAACGAAAACGGGGATTAAAATTCTCTACATGAAGCCTAATTCCAGGAAACATGTCAAGTCCCTGAAATACAGCTGAATGGTGAAGGGCCTCATATTGGCATGATTTTACATACAAATCATGCAAACCAAAGAGCAAGTTTGAATGCTGAATGGGATGCTAAATGAGGAACATCTGAAAGCATGTAAGACGTGGAAGTTTTAGTGTCAGAGCTTTGCATAAATTTGCAGAGCACATCATCTATCAAGATAAAATTTAATACTGTATTATGTTGGGAGATACGCCTAGCAGGTTAAACCTCCCTGAAAGCAAGATCCTGATAAGAAAAAATGTTATGAACTGGGAACAAAAAGGGCTCAAGTGGCATTATGGACTGAAGCAGGCTCAATATAAATCATATAACGTCTGCCAGGCTTCAAGCTCGCTCGGTAGACAGAGGTAGGGTTACATCTAACGTGTACTGAACACAATGTTAAAATTTCATATACAAATGTTCTAAATGTATAAAATGATACATGTGACTTCTTATTACAAGTTGGGGAAACAGGTGGATACGATGACACAGGTGGCGACGAATTAAAGCGAATTGCACACATGCCGAAGACCTTCATTGAGAGAATCTGTTGGGTTTTTGTATTGATATGGGGGTATGTTGCCAGCACAGTTTTGGTACAGTCACTGCCATTACATTTCTCTAAGAGAGAAATCGTGGTCACAAATAAAATACAAGAACATAATCAGGACATAATAAAGAATAATGTGCATCTCAGGATGTCTTAAAATTATTTAAACAAAACCTCAGATGAACTACAAAATACATCATATGCGCCATGTAATTATGTTTTTGTAAAAAAATACGACAAAATGCAGAAACATTGTTTGAAAAAATCAAATACATCCTTACTGCTTCAAAACGAAAAGCATAAATAGTAGCCAGGTGCTGTTAATCAAATACACTTGATTAACTGATCATCAGTGAGTGTGAGCACCGCTATGAAAGCAGACGTTTTGCAGTTTTCTTATCTGGAGCATTCAGGTGTGTGTTAACATGATGACAGGGAGGAAAGACATCTGCAACGGGCTTAAAGAAACAATTGCTGCCGCTTGTCAGTATGAGAAGTGTTGTAAGGCCATTTCCAAATAATCTGCAGTTCATTCTTCAGCATGAAGGATCACTGACAAGTGAGAAACATTCAAGACGGCTGCCAGTCTTCTAAGGAATAGATGTCCCTGCGAATCTATCCTAAGGTCAGACTGTGCAATGCTCAGAGAAACTGCAAAAAAACAAGAGCTACATCTCAGTTCTACAGGCCTCGGTCAGCATGTCAAATGCTAAAGACACAGCAATCAATAAAAAAAATAGCTGAAGGTAGATTTCTCTCTTTAAACAGAGCTTAAACTAATTTTATGGGTGAAATTTAGGGTCTGACATGAGTTAAGAGAAGAAAAGGGAAAAAAAATTAATTGATTTGAAGAGAAAGAAAATATATGCTTGTGTCATCAGTGACTGACATTCATATTGTGAACAAAATGATGTGCAAGTCAGTGGAGGCTCATTATTTTCCCATCAAACAGAGCAATAAGAAAAGCTGAATATAATTCAGTAGAATGAAGCTGAATGAAAGAGTCCCATTCACTACACAGGTGGATATATAGTTATAAAATCAAAGCAACAAAAACAATACAACAATGATCATTTAATCATCTTTATTCGCAAGACAAATACACCAGGCTTTATTAACTGGTGTATGTTTGCCTTCACACTAGAGTAGACCTTAAATCCGGTGAAGATCTGATTTTAGTTGCATCTATTTTTAAAAAAGCTTTGAGAGGTCAGAGCGGTGTGGTTGTGACTTTCTTCACATTAACACGATCCTTTTTTGAACCCCTGGTTTTATGTTGCAGGGTTCTTTCCAAAATCTTCCTGAAATGCACAACGAAACAGGCTGTAAAATACCAAAATTACTAATCAACTGATGGATGCTGAAAAACAGCTAAAGGAGAAAACAAGATAAGTCCAAGTAAAGTTCAAGCAAGGCACCCAAAATATTAGAAAACAAGGAGGTTTCAAATGAAAGAGCGGGTAAAATGCTGACCTGAAAACACACAAGAGAAACACAAACATTCAAGACACACAAAATAAAGTTTCTGGATATAAATCAGGCAAAAAATATGCAGAGCACTTCATGCAAATTAACACAGGGAAAAAGTAAACGCTAATGAACACAAGACAGGTGATTTAAAAAAATAAAAAGAGAAATACCCAGCATTTTGAGTTTGTTTTGTATTTTTGATTCTTTCTTTGTATTATAATGATTATTTAAGCTCTATACAGCTTAGTCTTCAGTTTAGTTCTTTAGTTCAGTTCTTCTACTGTCCCTGAGTTTGGGGGGTTTTTTTGGGTCATATTGGGTTCCTTTTGTATCTTTGTCTCGTCCCTGTGTCTCCAGTGAGAATCTGTCATGTCCTCTGTTTTTATGTGTCTTTCCCCAGTCATGTCTCTGTTTGCCCACTCTCTCTCTCGCTGTTTATATCGCTCACCTTTCCTGTGTCTAAGTCATGCCTTTGTGTTTCGTCTCCTGACCTGTTTCCTAGTGTTTCCTCCTTGTCTCCTCAGCCTGTCATGTCTTCCACTGTTTGCTGTCCCCATCCTAGTGTCAGCTCACGTATACGTGTCACTTCCTGTTTTATTTTGACAGTACCTCATCTCATATGTGTTATATTCAGTTTTGCTCTCCCTATTTGTGTCTAATTTGTTCCAGCTTCGTTTCCCTGCTGTCTCCACTCTCCTAAACACCTGCATTGTTTGTCCCAGTCTCCCCTTGCTTTTTGTCAGATCGTCAGTTCTCCCTCCATGTTTCCCTGCCACGATCCAAGTTCTTAGTGTTAGTTTACTGTTAGTAAGGGTCTTATTCTTGCCTTCGTTTTGTATTTTTGTGCAGCCTTAATAAACGGCTAGCTTCTGCTAACTTGAGTCCAAGCATCTGCATTTGGGTCCCCGCTTCAAATACATGATCTGCATCTGCAGATCGTGACATAAAAGCTATGAAAATACCTAAAATCAGTGCACCTATCCAATAAAGCAGCACTCTCAGGGTAGAAAATAAAAATGGTCCGATTCCTTTCCTGGGTGCTCCTGGAATTTAAACCATTGGTAAATAGCAAGAGATGACTTTACAAAAAAATGTCGAAATCAAGGCTCCTGAGGCCAAGAGAGCTTGTCTATCATTTCTATGTGTAAAATTCTAATAGAACTTGGATTATTTTTCAGAAGATGAATTGCTCTCAAGCTAGAATAGGCTCCACACCCCTGTGACCTGGATAAGAAGAAGAGAATGGATGGATGGAACTGCTATCAAAGTCCTTAAATTCCTTACAGCATTATAAAATCTGTAAACTATGCCTCCACATATTCTCAAAGGTCCCCCAGACCTGCAGGAGACATGCATTTACTTTTCACTTGCTGTGAAAAGTAAACATCATCAAATCAGCATAGTCTTCTTCTTCCTTCTCCTCCTCCTCCGTGTAGTGGTCTCCACAACAGATGATCAGTCTCAAGGTCGCCCTGGTCATGCCATCCTCCTCTGCTGCACCAACCCTTCATCACTACATCCATAAATCTTTAAACTAATCCTATATGATTAAAGTTTCAATCAGCATTTGATTTCCAATAAAGATGAAATACAAACTTTTGTTTCCATGCAGATGAAAAAAAAAGCAAAAAAGCATCAATCTTTCTATTTAGTAGACCAGATGTTGGTGAAAGTCTTTCCTGAATGACAAATTCAATATAAAACAAACTCTACAACACTGTCATGGTCTTTGTAATTATCCCTGGTAATTTTTGCTTACCTCATTCTTTGCTGAGTGTTTTCCTTTTTCGTGTTGCGTCCCCCGTGTCTGTGTGTCTCTGCTCTTTTCATGACTTCGTCTTTCTTTCATTTTACTTCCCGCTTTACTTCAAAGCCTAATTCTTTGTGAGGCACTCCCTTTCTTTCCCGCCTGCACACTTATGCCTCATGTTGTTTATGTTCATTTAGTTTGTGTGTCCTCTCTGAGTCTCTTTCACGTCAGTTTTTACTCTTTTTGTTATCAATTTTATTGACGCTGTGCAACCAACACCTTCCTTTTTCATGCATGTCTGCGATTTATTTTCCTGCCAAGTACATCCCACACTTACACAAGCAAGTCAAATTAAAGGTAAGAGAAGAAAATCTCTTTGTGTGCAGGGTAGTATTACAGTGACACACACCACTCTCTTGGACATAAAGGACCTGTTTCTGTTTCTGTTTCTGTTTTGTCTTTTGTTTTTTTGTTTTTTGCATATCCTTAAATACTGGAGCAACCCCCCCCAACCCGCCGCGATCCACAACATGAATGAATGTAAAACAGCAGAGGTGCCTTCTTCCCCCTTAGGTCCGTGTCCCTTACAGAGTCTGTGCACGACACTGACGCTGTTTAAAGAGAGAAGTGGATATAATTTAAAAGGAAGGAACGAACAGTTGGATACAGAGAATTCCCCCCCCCCCCACACACACACACACACATGGGGACACCTGAATGCAAACCAAATGTGGGTCACCTAAAAGAAAACGACACCTCCAAGCCAAGAAGCGAGAAATGTTGTGTCTCCTAACACCCCCAGCCTATAGCTGATATTCTGCACCACCGTTTTAAGCACACACCGAGTCCCCCTTCTCGTTTCAGAGATGGGAGGGCGGGCTGTAGGACCGAGCAGCCAGCCAGCGTCAGGGCTGAATAATTGATCTCTCTCTATCGGTCAGGGGGACGTTAGTGGGACGTTTCTCTCTCCATCCCTCCATGTGATTCATTCGCTGCTTCCCATCACAGTGTTAACGGCAGCTGCTTCACCCTCCGCAAACCGCCACCCCCTCCACTCCTCCTCCTTGTCTCTACGTGTGAGTGTGAGTGAGTGAGTGAGTGAGTGCAGGAAGACGAAGCGGCAAGCAGGAGGAAACACCAAGGACGTCCTTTTTCCAGCCCCGGGAGACGGAGATGCAAGGAACGAGCAGTTAGATTAGCCCGTGCTGCTGTTGCCTGCTGCAGGATAAGTTCGTTCCGGAGGGTACTGCAGCTGAAGCTCTGCTCCTCGATCCGTGCTCGGTGTGTGAGTGTGCCAGGAGAATTTCATTCAGGCGCCGGACGGAGGTAAATCGACGCTTGATGCGGCTGCTTCAACACAAGCCAACGGTTTAGGGAGCTATCCACTCGCCGTGGTGCTGAAACCAGGCTCGCAGCTACTAGGAAGTGCATGTGTGCCTCTCCTTTCACACAATCCCAGCACATGCATGCATAAAAGGGGGGTCATTTTGAACATATGTTCCAACTGCAATTTCAGCTGTAGACATGCGTGCATAGCTCGATATTTCTGCTTCATTAACGTGCGAGTAGCTTTTTCTTTTTTCTAATGTTGAAGCGGGATGGCTGAGTCCACGTCCCTCCAATGGAGGATGGAAAGTTTTACCACATGATCAGGAAAAATACACAGGAGTGGTTTAGTCCGGGATTCACATGCGTGACAGCAGACCGTCCTGCCAGACTGAGGGTCTTTCACGGTGCACTTTCTCAGAAGTGCTCTGACTGCAGGCAAAGCTTAGCCGTACACGGTTTGAACGATCGTCAGCTGTCCTGGAAAATATTTTAAAGCAAAACGTTCGCAGATAAACCGCGAGCAGTAGTTTCTGAGCTGGTCAGTAGTTGTGACATGTTTGGCGCTTTTGTGTTCGAACCATTGACCTCGGTGCCCTTCAGTTGGCGCATCGAAGAAATGTGTTTTACACGCAAAAGCACCTCTTGCAAACATTTCAGAAATCACCGTTTCATATTTCAGCTTAACAAATGTAGTATAAAGAGCGTCGACTGTAGCCTAAGCTGAATACACGTCTCCGTGCTTAACGTGCTTGTCGTTTTAATTTGCAGATCTGGCAACAAAGGACTTCTCATCTTCCGCAACTATTGAATGTAACATCGCTCGGATAAGGAAGGCAGGGAATTAAAAGCCATCATCATGAATTTCGTTATGAAACAAGCGCTGGGAGGTAAGTTCTTCCCTTTTTATCCGCTGTAACGACGGATGTGATGAGTGTGAGTCCGCCGATGTTTCTGCTTTTTGTAGAGGTTTAATTACTCTCCAAAGTGATTACTTTTGTATCCAACACCCTCCTTTTCCACGCAAACATTATTGGATTGTCACATCTCAAGAATTTCTCTCTTTTTCTTTCCTGTTTTGCGCTTTGGTGCTTTTTTGCGCATTTCTTCCACATCTGCTGGTTGGTCTTTGCGCGCGTGGCGCAGTTGGCCCCTGTGGCGCATACTTCAGTGAGCTCATGATTTCTAACGCGATTAAACCAGTGCAGTCAAAGGGGCATTTTATGTTCGAAGAAGTTCAAATTTTTCACCAAGACGAGTTAAAAACGTTTTTATCGTTTTTCAGTCTTACCCATCAAAAACACAGAGATGCCTTTTGGCCGGGACTCTGCAGCGACTCCTTATCACGAGATGCTGAACGCACATTTTCCACCTGAGGAAGAAAAGATAATCAAGGCACAATCTAATCTTAAATAATTTCATTCCCGCGTGCAGGCACGGGGGTGATTTTCTAATGGCTTGTGCTGCAGTGAATCCCTGAACATGTGAATACCAAAACAGAGTAATGAATTTTGAAGGGGTATGAACTTGTTATGAATATGCAGACAGTGCAGTGGAAGGTGAAATGACGGAGATGGTTTTCACAAAGCAGCGGATGGTTCGTGATGATTCGTGGGACAGTTCAAAGAATGAAAGTGGTTTACCTTCCCCCTGAACAGCAAAGGTAACAAAAGGCTGTTTGACTTTTCAAGCACATGTAAGCTGCGTTTGCGGAGGTCGCTTTGTGATCAGAGCAGTTAATCTCTCCAACTGCGTGTCTGTTTTCGACGTTACGCAAAATAAATTTAAAAAAAAAATTGTAAAACTCGATGACGATGTGAATTATTTTATCGAGGGAGGATCCAACATATTTTAATATGAATCACAGTAAATTTTTTTGAAACGTAATGTAGTACATAATGTATGGCGGGGAATGTTCTTCTGATTGTCTTTATTCATGAATATATAACAGAATGGCAACATTTTCGCTGAATGCTGGATTTAAAATGATGCTTCTGGTATCTGGTGTCATTTTGTGAACTTGTCATTTTGCCAGTTGGACATTTTTTTTAATTTAATTTAATTTTTTGTCAGTGGCTCATTAATATGATGACTATGCTACAATGGCTTCTTCTTCTTCCATGCACTCTTTAGCCTTTACATTCCTATAGGAGACAAAAACCTGCCTACTCCACTTTTCTACAAGGAGGTCTCTTCAAATATGTGCATTCATTATATAGAACATTAAAAACATTTGGATGGAAACTACTAATTAATCATTTACAGAGTAATCAAGTGAAACGCACAAATCAAGCTTTAGTTATTTATTTTAAACATCACAATTCTTTGATGAGCAGGTATTTGTTATTAAAATGTTAAATTTGGGGATTGAATTTCATTTCTTGCAAAATGTCTTTTTAAGGCCATACAGTTTTACAGCTGGATACCCCCACATGTTTGAATTGTGATTCATTTTTACACCACTGTAAGACTCAGAAATCCCACCCTGGCAACCCTCCACTGCCCACCATATGGACAGCTACACATGCATGTTTTTAACAAGTTAAAAGATTTGGAGAGCTAGTCGCTGGTCAAATGCAGTGAAACTGTGAAATGCAATGCTAGTGTATTACAGTAAGACAAAGCAAGCATGCTAATATTACTTTTCCCACAGCAAGAAGATCAGCTCATTGTCTGTCTCACAGACTTTTGTTTCATGAAGCTCTAAAAAAACAAACTAAAAGCCAGTTTGAAATTACTGTTACTGGACGTCCTGCTTGCCACCTTTTCCCCGATTCTTCTTCCGCCATGATCTCCAGATCCTTAGCTAACATCTTCTTAGAGGTAGCTGAAGATCACAGTTGGGTTGCAGTTTGACGTAGTGCCCTAAAGGCTGTTGTAACCAATCATCCCAAGTTACATCATGCAAAAACAGGAGCAGCATAATGCTCCCTGTTACTAGTCAGGGTAGCATCAAAGCAATCTGGAGGCATTTACTGAATAATCAAGTGAAATGCAAGGTGAAATGGGTGCGTAATCTTCTTTTAAACCTTGAGTGCACAGCTTTTGTCTCCCACTTCTGGCAATGATCATCATCAGAGGCACAATGACAAGTGCAGATGACAAGGACTTTTTAAAAAATATACCTTCATCGCTCCTCTGAACAGCAAATTTCTTTTAATCTCAAATACCTGAAACTTTTTTGGGGATCTTCCTACTTGCTGTTGCTTCTCTCTTCAGTGATGTAAAAGCAACCATCACTGATGTAAAACACACAGCTACCTGTGTTCCAGTCTATACGATCCTAGACAAATTCGTTAAGAAATTGTTATGATTCAGGCAAAGAAAAACCTATAGAATACTTATAATTCAATGGCACTGATGATTAATATTGCATCGAAAAGTCTACACATGTAAAATATTTATTATATGTACTTACGAAGCTTCCTGTTTTGTGTTTTTGACAGGTTCCGTAGCAATGTGTTCATCGTGTGTTCAAACATTTGGCTGTTAAGTTAGTGGGTGTCCTGGGAGCTGCAGGTGCCCACTGCCAGGCTGGTACAAAGCTCCCCGTCAATAAAAACGAGTCAAATCTGCTGAACCGCACATAAAAGAAACTGCACACATGAGGAAAATCAGGCAGGCTGTGCCAAGGTCTTCACCTTGAGCAGAGTATTTCTTTCCATTTCGGGGAGCAAGTTTTTTGTTTTCTTCTTAAGAAGTAATGAGTTTTTAGTGTGCAGTGGATTAGCTGTGAGCTATTATCTCACTTCTCGTTCTCTCTGCGCGCTCTTAGGAGAAACTCACACTCCATCTGCTCCCATCTAGGCACCGATCTGTGCTCTGTTTCATACGCTGAAGAGAAAGGTCGCCTTGCAAGGTGTACTCATCTGCCATCCGCGAACCTTTCGTCCTTTGAAATGCAAGTCATAGATCAGGAGGTCTCAAAAATGTTTTCATGTCAAGGATCCATGCAGAGAAGACTTTGAAAAAGATGTTAGAACAAATACGCTGGTTTGTGTTTGTGTGTTTACTCTGTCAATCAAAGTTTGTGAGTACTGATAGAGTAATGATGCTAACCAGTGGTAACTACATACTCCATCCTCAACCCCTCATCCTCCATTTTGGTGTATTTTGACATATAACTCTGTACAACACTGAGCTGTGAGGCAGGAGACACCCAGAGAGGCAAAAACAGAAGTTGTCACAAAACATCCTCACTGTTGCACCTATATCCACTTCTACCCAAGTCCCCTGATATCATAGAGAGTATAAAAGATGTGATGTCACTCACTGGCAGTGTTGGTCAAGTTACTTGAAAAAAGTAATCAGTAACTAATTACTGATTACTTCCCCAAAAAAGTAATCCCGTTACTTTACTGATTACTTATTTTCAAAAGTAATTAATTACTTACTTAGTTACTTAGTTACTTTTTAAAAACACGATTTACAACCTGAATAGGTGATAAAGCGATAGATCTTTCAGCCCAATTCTACTTTTTCTACATAATCCATCATATAAAATGTAATCAAATGGAAAAGTCTCTTTTTTAAACTTGTTTTATCAGTTTTAATCTTTTAACTTTATGCATCAAGCAAAAATTTAATTATATGCACCATTCTCTGACTTGAAGAAATTAGTTTAACATGTAAACATGTAAAAAAAAAAAAATAAAATAAAATAAAATAAAGGTTAATAATGTAAACCTATTTTCTGCACATCCCAGCACATAAAATAAAATATTTTTTGTGTTTACACTCACTCTTTCAAATAGATGCAAGTAAAACACAGCAGAAAATAAATAAAGTCAAAGACTCAGCGGTCCTGTTGCTCTATTTTCACCTGTAAAGCAGGAGTGGGGCAGGCGGAGGTTTACCCTGGTGCAGGTGTGCCGCGGTCAGCGGAAGAATCCGCGAGTTTCTCTGTGAGTTTCCCATTACGTCGTTTCGCACTCGGTGCTTGCTCGGAAGTTTAGGGGGGTTTTTTGCTGTAAAAAGAAGTTTTCTTCCCACGCACAACGGACACTAATGTTTTTGTCACTTTTTATGAAATCAAACTCAAAATAAGGTCAGTACTTCCACGCTTTAAACGCTGCATGCTCATACTCTCTCCTGCACTCGATATATGATCCATTGTTGATCTGCACACAGCTGTTGTCACGAACGGCGCACTCGCTTACATCACTGTCATGAGACATTCTCGCAAAAAATCACAGTTTTAGTAACGCAGTAACGCAGCGTTACTACGGGAAAGTAACGGTAATCTAATTACTGTTTTTGCAATAGTAATCCCTTACTTTACTCGTTACTTGAAAAAAGTAATGAGATTACAGTAACGCGTTACTTGTAACACGTTACTGTAACACGTTACTGCCCATCTCTGCTCACTGGCGAGTAAAGTCCTGTTATGAAGCCTTAAGCTGTGTTTTTTCACCTTCACCATCTTGGTTGCTTGAAACTGGACACGGGAGGGAGTGGTGGATCTGTGTCACGCACTATTGTCGGGCACAGTGCCGGTGTGTTTGTTAAAGCGGACCCAAAAGCAGACACTGGAGGCAAGGAGCTGGTTTGCAAACAGAAGGCGAGCCTTTATTTCGGCTGAAAACGTGGAACTATGAAACACCAAGCATAACTATGAAAAACTATGACAAACCTATGACTGACCATGATAACAAAAGGTTATCATGATCAGACGCCCTGACAATGAACAGTAAGAGACAAAGGACTTAAATACACACATGAGGTGATCAGGGGAAGTGGAGACACATGAGGAAACAGTTGACTAGGATGAACATAATGATGCACAGGAAATGTAAACTAAAACACAACGACATGAAAACTGGACTTTCAAAATAAACAGGAAAACATGACTAGACACAGGCATGACAGCATTAACCAGGCAGACCAGAAA